AAAAAAAGACGGAAATCCCTGCTTTCAGTAGTTTATGTTTTTAAGGGTGGAGATAGAAAATGAACAAATAAATATATAATATGTTAGGGGTAACAAGTGGTAAGTGCTATAGAGAAGAACAAAAGCAGGGCACAGGGCCAGAGGATCATTAGTGTAGGTCAGGGGTTGGGGGCTGCTATCTCACTGAGAAGGGCCATGGAAGCTCAGACTTTTTGTGTGTGGTTTGAGCAGAGACTTGAAAGGAGGAAACATGCAGGGAGTGCGATGAGGGTTCTAGTCAGAGAGAAGGACAAACGTAAGACTCAGGGAAGAAATGTATTTGGAAGTATCCAGAGAACAGCTAAGAGGCCAGTGTGCTAGAGCCAATCGAGCAAGGATAGGAGAATGAGTTGATGAGGACAGGGAGGTAATGAGGACTTGACAGGCCATTGTGAATACTTTGGGTCTTACTCTGAGTGAGATGAGAGACCACTGAGGAGTTTGGAACCAAGAGAGATTTCCATCTGAGGAGGATCGCCCTGCGCCACAGACTGCAGGGAAGGAGGGAGAAGGCAGGCAGAGACTAGCTAGAAGGTATTTGCGCTAATTCAGAGAAGATAAGATGATGGCTTGGCCCGGGATGGTAGCAGAGAGATGGCAAGAAGGGAGGGATTCTGGACATGTTCTGAATGTATTGCCAAACAGATGTGCTGAATTGGACAAGGGTGTGAGAAAAAGAATTGAGAGGAGTTTGAAGGGATTTCTGTAAAGAAATTGTGAATTGAAGATAAAACTAACACTATAAGTGAGCAATAGAGAAATGGTAAATCAGACACTTTTCCTACTCCTATAAGATAGAAATTATCAAGAAAACTATATAAAATATTTTATACCCACTGTTGTTAGCAGTGAGCCTCATCCTAAGTAGATATTGTTCCTTGAGCTTTTTAGCAAATGATAGTAGGAAGCCATCATGATTAAGAAAACATGCTACCATGATTTTAAAAGTAAGCGTCACAAGGGGCCCCTGGGTGGCTCAACAATTAAGCGTCTGACTCTTGCTTTTGACTCAGGTCATGACCTCAGGGTAGTGAGATTGAACCCCACTTTGGGTTATGCACTCAGCAGGGTGTCTGCTTAAGATTCTCTCCTTCTGCCCTTCCTGCCCCCCCCCACAACCCTACCACCACCGCCCCCCCCACCCCACCCCCACCCCGCACTCACTTTCTCTCTAAAATAAATAAATAGGGGGCAGCCCCGGTGGCGCAGCCGTTTAGCACCGCCTGCAGCCCAGGGTGTGATCCTGGAGACCATGGATTGAGTCCCACGTCAGGCTCTCTGTATGATGCCTGCTTCTCCCTCTGCCTGTGTCTCTGCCTCTCTCTGTCTCTATGAATGAATAAATAAAATCTTTAAAAATAATAATAAAATAATAAAATTAAAATAAATAAATAAATAAATAAATAAATAAATAAATAAATAAATAGGGACACTTGGGTGGCTCAGTCAGTTAAGCATCTGCCTTGGGCTCAGGTCGTGATCCCAGGTTCCTGGGATTAAGCCTCATCTCAGGCTCCCTGCTCAAAGGAGTCTGCTTCTCCCTCTTCCTCTGCCTGCTGCTCCCCCTGCTTATTCTTTCTCTCTCTCTGTGTGTCAAATAAATAAAATCTTTAAAATAAATAAATCTTTTAAAAGAAAAATAAGCATCATGAGTTTTAGTAATGTCAAATTTAAGTAAGAACAGAATTGTATTAAAATAAAATGAAAATATCTTAACAATATTCTTAGCAATTGCTGCTTTACTATGTCCTTTAAAATCTAGTTTTGGGGGATCCCTGGGTGGCGCAGTGGTTTAGCGCCTGCCTTTGGCCCAGGGCGCGATCCTGGAGACCCGGGGTCGAATCCCACGTCGGGCTCCCGGTGCATGGAGCCTGCTTCTCCCTCTGCCTATGTCTCTGCCTCTCTCTCTGTCTCTCTCTCTCTCTCTCTCTCTCTCTCTGTGACTATCATAAATTTAAAAAAAAATCTAGTTTTGGTATATGCTTTGAAATGCATGCATGAGTGTGTGTGTGTGTCTGTGTACAGAGAGAGAAAATGAACATAATTCATAAAAATATAGGGGCACCTGGGTGGCTCAGTGGTTGAGGGTCTGTCTTTGGCTCAGGTGGTGGTCTCGGGGTCCTAGGATGGAGTCCCGCATCGGGCTCCCACAGGGAGCCTGCTTCTCCCTCTGCCTATGTCTCTGCCTCTCTCATGAACAAATAAATAAAATCTTTTAAAAATAAACAAAATACAGTATTCTCAACTGATGGTCAGATTGTTATAAATATTGAATATTGTTATAAATATCGAAGGTACAGAAAACTCTAGCAGGAATATAACATAGACAAGATTTAAAGATATTAATCTGGGGGTGGGGTTTAGTGGAGCTCAAGGTAAAAGGGAGGGGCAAGAAGCTGATGGTTAGGGTATTAATTCTAGTTTGCAACCGTGTGATGCTTTACATTTTTCAAGGGTTCCACGAATAACATCTGATTCCATCCTGATGTCAACCCTGTGAAGTCAAGTCAGAAAAGGCATTATCTCGGGGCACCTGGGTGGCTCAGTGGTTAGGCTCTGCCTTTGGCTCAGGTCCTGATCCCGGGGTCCTGGGATGGAGTTCCACATTAGGCTCCTCCCTAAGAAGAAGGGTACTTCTCCCTCTACCTAGGTCTCTGCCTCTCTCTGTGTGTCTCTCATGAATAAATAAATAACATTTAAAAAAATTAAAAAAAAAAGAAAAGAAAAGGCATTATCTCTTTCAGAAGGAGTGAATTGAGACTGGGGTTGAGATACTCTCCTGAGCTCGGTCGGATAGAAAGTAACAGGGCAAGGATTCACATTAGGGCCTCTGGCTCCACAATCAGTTCTCTGTTAAGACATTCAATAAATATATTTGACAAATTAAGTGCTTGCTCCTGGCTGAGTGTTATACTAGGTGGTGCGGCGGCATCCAAAAGAGAGGGAAAGTCACTCCCTCTGTTCCCATGTAGCCTTCAGTCTGGGGCCAGGGACATTAAACAGATGCCTGTGAAACTGTTTACTACATTGACAAAGCAACATATTTATAAAAGTGAAATAATAAATTTAGCTCATAAGGATTCAGGGGGCAAAAAGTCAAGTGAGAGTATTAGTTATTAGAGCAAAGTGGAGTTAGCAGGTCTAATAGGGCTCTTGACGATTAGAGGTTCCCGGCTCAAATTGATGTTAAGTAAAGAAGGAAATTCGCTGGCTGATAGTTCTGATAACTATGGGCTAGCAGGGCGTAGATGATGTCACCAGGATTCCATGCCTCGCCATCCCCAACACTGTTTTCATGCACCTTAATTTTAGTCCCAGACATGCTCTCACCAGGTGTTGATAATCTGGCCAGAGCAGCCCCGGGTAAAACCCTACAAGCTCCTTTCTTTTCACCCTGGAAAGGAAAGCACTTCTTTCTGGATTGCACCAGTGAGATAGAATTTTGTGCCTGTCTCCTCACGGGTTACTAGAGCTAGAGAGTGCTGTGCTCTGACTGGCCAGGCCTGGGTGACACATTCTGCCTTGAGTAAGGGTGGGTGGGGTCAGCCCCACCAGAATAGCAGGGACTGAGTAAAGGGTTGGTTTCCCAGAGGAAAATCCCACTAGAAAGGAAAATGGTGATCAGGAAGGCAAAACAACAGAGGATCATTATAACAGGGGCAGATTCCTGAAAGAAGTAATTTGTTCCACAATTTGAGGGTAGGATTTGAGCTTGGTTTTAATCTTACGGAATTCTGAAAAAGAGTTGGTGTAAGAGATTCAGGACATGCAAGCACACCCTGCAGGGCATTGATTTGAGTGTTCATGCTTAACTTTTCCTTTCCCGTGAGTCTTAAGGACACTATTTATTCATGCAGGGCTGTCCTGAGCTGAGGCTCATCATCTCCTTATTATGCCTTTTCTGACTCCACCCATGTGAAGCTAGGAGGTCTTTGTATTCCTGAAGCCCCCAAAGATACCCTTTCAGATTCCTTCCCAGCCACTTAGTGGCCTTTTGTGGTGACTTCTCCTTTTTAAGGCTGCCTTTAGTGACCTAATAATAATCTGTTATTAAAGATGCAAAAGACAGTTCTCACACCTCACCACTCATACTCCCCTGGGCTCCCCAAGTTTGGTTCTGTCCTCTTTTCAAGTTTGCATTTTCTCCTTTCCACAGAGGTTTGCATTCTCCCTTTAAGAAATCCTCTCCACTCTCTATCATGTTTCAACAATTCTTCATCCCATACTCTTATCCCTGCCTTCCACTAATCGCATCCGTGGGCCCTGCTGACCCTCTGTGACACTTTGAATTTTAGAGAATGGTCACATGTTGCAAAGTCCGACTCTAGAAGGCAGACCACTCCATTTCCTGCTCCTGCAATGGCCTTTATCTCTCCAGGCCTCCTCTTCTGTAACTCTGAAGCAGAGATAAGATTCCCAGAGGGAAGCACTTGCAAAGTGCTCTGAGTGCTTTGATGAAATTGATTAGATAAATGGAAACATATTTTTTTTTGCAACTGCTCTAGCCAGTAAGAAAAATAAGTTATGTAAATGCGATGACTTGCCATTTGACAAATAATGAAGGTCCTTTGTAATTTTATTTATTTATTTATTTATTTTAAAGATTTTATTTATTCTTAAGAGACACAGAGAGAGAGAGAGAGAGAGAGAGAGAGAGAGAGAGAGAGGCAGAGACACAGGCAGAGGGAGAAGCAGGCTCTGTGTAGGGAGCCTGATGCGGAACTCGATCCTGGGACCCCAATATCACGCCCTGGGCCGAAGGCAGGTGCCAAACCGCTGAGCCACCCAGGGATCCCTTCTTTGTAATTTTAAGTATTATTTCACCAGTAATTTTAAGTTTTTCCCCAGCAATAAAAAAACAGAATGATCTGAAATTTTTAAAAAATAAATACTGCTTGATATCCTTAAAGCAGTACTTTCATTATCAATGATTGAATTAACATTTTGTTTAATTTTTCTAGCTTCTCTCTTGAAGGGTTTGAAACATGCCAATATCGTGCTCCTGCATGACATAATCCACACCAAAGAGACACTGACATTCGTTTTTGAATACATGGTGAGTTGCCCCAGCATTTTCTAAAGCATGAGGGAAAAGCCTGGTGCTTGTATAATGAATCTGTTAATATTTTATGGCATGATGAAACTTTTATTACAATGTGGAAAGTGTCATGGAAATTTTCATTATTATGATTACTAGAGCCTATTGTTCTTACACTCCTTCTTTAGTCCTGCTTCTTTACACACTGTATTTGCTGTCTTTTGTCCCCCTTACAGGCAATAATAAATAAGCACGTTGAGTTTGCCTCCTAAATAAAACTTTTGTAGTTATTTTTTTATCTATTTTTAATCACCATCTGAGCAGACCCCATTTTTTCATTGACAATAAAGACGTAAATCATAAGGCTTTTAAAAATTGTATACAAGTTTACTAAGTAATAACTCATTTTCATATTTTTGAAATGAAAAAAACATTCAGATATTAGCAGGATGAAATCCTAATGCAAAACCCTAATGAAATCCTATACTTGACTCGCCCTCAAGGAGGGTGAAATATGCCTGTATCAATGTGTTTAGTGGCAGTCATTTAAAAGAAGCATCTTTTTGTGATGAGAAACAAGCTTCCTTCTTAGAACAGCCATTTAGAAGGATGCACGGTGTTTGACCTCAGGAGTAGTGAGATCTCAGGAACCCCGGTTATGTACCTTTTCTACCTTATTCTCAAAAATCCTGAAGTTTGTAATACCTCTAATATCTGTGGTCCACTTTAGGACACTGTTGAAGTTCCACTAATGTCATTCTTTCCACCATTTTCTGTAGCACACAGACCTGGCCCAGTACATGTGTCAGCATCCAGGAGGGCTTCATCCTCACAATGTCAGGGTGAGTACTTCGAGGGTCAGGACTCCTGTCTGGCTTGCCCACAGCAGAATTTTGAAACACATCGTCATCACAAAGCAAAGTCCCATGATACTAAATAAGAAGATGCATATTGTTGATATTCCGGAGAAGTTTTTTTTTTTTAAGTTTCTCCCTGGGGCACCTGGGTATTTCTCAGGTTTTGATCTCACAGTTGTGGGGATCAAGTCCCTCGTCAGGCTCTGTGACCAGCAGGGAGTCTGCTTGAGATTCTCTCCCTCTGCCTCTGCCCCTCCAGCTGTTTGCAGTCTTCTCTTTCTCTCAAAATAAGTAAATAAAATCATGGGGGAAAAAAAGGTTCCCCTCAAGATATAGAGCAATGTGTAGCCATTTCCAGGCAGCCTAAACTTGTCAGCCATTGCCATCATGCAAACGTGTCTTCAGAAGTACAAACCAATTAAAAAAGAATTGCATTTAAAGGAAAGAAGTGAAGCTAAGCCATCGTAAAATAAATACATCCTTCATGGCAGACTATTGTGGTCTGTGATAAAGTTTGTGTTGTACTTATAGTTCCCCATCAGAATCAGCAAACAAACTACCTTTGTTAGGTCTAAATTAGTTACCTGTTCTATCAGATCCTGTTATAAATGGGACCAAGTTCCATTTCCCAGTCACAGGAATAGAAATAATAATAAACTCTTTAACTCGCTATAATTCTGTGTGTGCTATGGATGTTAGAAACCACTTGCATTTCGTACTTTTCATTCCCTATGGCTTTTACTAGCATTAATTAATTGATTGGTCCTTGATATAACCTATACAAAATTTCTATATGCTGTACTCATTCATTTAATTAACATTTATATTCTTTTATTCATTTATTCATTCAAGAATGATTGAATGCTTGGTATTATATTAAGTTCTGAGGTTTCAATAATGAATAAGTTGTGTTTTTTATTGTCAATAAGCTTAAAGTCCAGTAAGATATATGGTGTTTTTTTTTTTTTAAATTTATGATAGTCACACAGAGAGAGAGGCAGAGACACAGGCAGAGGGAGAAGCAGGCTCCATGCACCGAGAGCCCGACGTGGGACTCGATCCAGGGTCTCCAGGATCGCGCCAAACCGCTGCGCCACCCAGGGATCCCGATATATGGTGTTAAATAGGTAGTAAGAAGCAAAGTGACCAGGGCTATGGCCATGTTAACTAGAAACACTAGGAGAACTCATAATAAGGGGACCTAATCCTGTCTTGGAAACAAAGAGGAAAAAAAGATTGAGGACAGGGGGTTGGGGAGAGTAAAAACATTTTAAAATAGCTAGTGGAGACGGGATAAAGATCTAACCAGGCAAACTAAGAAAGAATGTCTAGTAGTGTGTTAAGGACTCTTGGTGAAAATGAAAACCATTAAATTTTCTGCATGATCATGGGATTTCCTTTTTTTTTTTTCTTTATTTATTTATTTATTTATTTATTTATTTATTTATTTATTTACGATAGTCATACAGAGAGAGAGAGAGAGGCAGAGACACAGGTAGAGGGACAAGCAGGCTCCATGCACCGGGAGCCCGACGTGGGCCCTGGGCCAAAGGCAGGCGCCAAACCGCTGCGCCACCCAGGGATCCCGGGATTTCCTTTTTAATGGCAGCACTGAGCAATTCAGACAGAGGAATAAACAAAGTAGAAGTTGGATTGATTCAGAGTTGAGGAGATTGTCGAGAGAGGTTAAAGTCATGGTCAGGCTTCTAAACTGAGTCTAATCTGAAGCAAGGAGGTGAAGATAAGCAGGTTGCTGATAACTTAGGAGAAAGCAGAAGAGTCAAGGAACTAGGGCTATTGATTAAGTAGAAGAACACTCAGAGAAAGAATAACTGAGAACAAACACTTTCAGGCTTGAGTGACTCATACTGGGCACTGTGCCGAAGGCTTAGAGGGATAAAAAAACATAGAAGACAAAATTCCTACCTTCAAGGACCTTACAACCAAAAACAAGAGATAAGAAATATGAACCAATACTATTACAGGACATTTGTGAATAACACCAAGTGAGATGGGGGTACATAAGTCTGGAAAAAATAGATTGGCTAGGTGGCTGGGAGCCTTATTTTCTAAGATGTGGACTATATTTCTTAGACAGGAGGGCCATTAAAAGGGTTTGAGTTGAGAGGGAATAACATGATCTGAAGGAAATTTATGTAACTGTGGTCTGTGGGATGGATTAAAGAGTAGGGGGTTCCAGTTAGGAGTTTATTGATGTGGGCTAGCCCAGTGCTTCTCAAACTTCAACAAGCAGACAAATGACCTGGGCATCTGATTCAGAAAGTCTAGGATGAGGCCTCACCTTCTGGGTTTCTTCTTCTGGGTTGATTGACCAGAGTAATTATAGCTCTAGTAACAGAAATAGAAGAAGTTGATTTGGAGGGGAGGAGGAAGAGTCCTGTTTTAGACATGGTGAGCTGTTAGCTGAGATGGAAATCGAAAGGGAAATGAACAGTAGACAATCAGAGAGGTGATTAGTGCCCAGGAGGAAGATAGATGCTGGAAATACAGACTTGGGGGTAATTGGTACAGGATGTCTGTAGTTGAAGACAAGAGAGTAGATAACCAAAAGAGCAAATACACAAAGATAAAAGAACTGATTATAGAACTTTTGCCTGTAGGGGTTGAAAGAGGAACAGGACAAGAGACAAAAGGAAGCAGCTTTTCAGACTATAAAGGTTTCAGAAAAACTACACTCTCATGGGAAGGTCAAGGGAAGAGACAGTCTCAGGGACGGCGTGGTGGAGACTGTCTTGAAAACTACATTTGACTGCAGTCATACTTGACTACTTTGTGGATTTGCAAGGGATACACTAATAAATAGAGGGATTTATTAGGGGTATGTGGAAGTGCAAAGAAGTTTTCCAGTCAAAGTAAATGGAAATAGGGATGAGTTCCCCAGAGCAGAGACAGCAGTGAAAATGCTCACTCTGGCCCAGATGGCACTAGCCCAGTGAAATTACTTTGTTCCCAAGAGCCTCACTGTGTTGAAAACAGGACTAACCCCTGGGGTATGGGAAGCCTCTCTGGAAAGAATCACCCACAATCTGGCTTGATGTTGACTGAGAAAATGCCATTGGATTGTGTTCTGTTGTTGGTGAAGCGTTGGCAGTGTGAAAGGAGAACACAGGTTGCAAAGGATTCAGGAGTGAGTGGGTGGCGAGGTTAGTCGGGGCAGACTAGTTTTAAGAAGTGTGGTCATAAAATGCCATCCATTAATACTGTACTGCTTTACCATTTATGAATGTTTGTGGACATATATGTGGAGCCAGGCAGGAAAGGGACCGAAGATCAAGAAGGTGGGACGCGGGCATGACTAATTAGCGAGAGCAGTCTACACTCCAACATGAACCGCATTTTCAGGCTGGCCCACTAAGAAGCTCTGCCTCTGACTCAGCCAGCTGACTCTCCCTTTCCCTGTCATGTTTTCATTTTCTTTTCTTTGGTTTCTCAGAATGATGTAGAGGAGTTAGGCAGGTCTGAGTTTGAGTTTCGGCCCTGATGGTCTCTTGACATGTTTTTAAAGTTTCCTTGAGCCCAATTTTACTTATCTGTGAATCAAAGACAAGCATATCTCCCTCGAGGGTTACTTTGAGGATTATAAAAGGTGCTTGGCTTTTAATAAATGTTTCCCCTTCTTCCTTTCTGTCTCTGGCCCTCAGTTGTCTTGTGCTCCCTCCTTCCTTAGTATTTTCCTGTTGAAAAACATACCTGTAAGCACGTAATATAGCCTCTTATCTTTTTTCCCTGCAATTTTCGTGGGTTCTTTATATTGTCTTTTCCAGAAACATTTAAATTTATAGCTGATTAGAAGGTTTAAACATTGGTATAGGAATTTCATATTTTGGTAGCTTAGTGGTTTGATGAATGAATGGTAAAATGAAGAGTGTGTGTATGCAAAGCACCAAGAAGGGAGAACACTGGGAAAGCTCATAGAACTGGTGAAGTAGGAGTCTCAAGAAATCTTTAACATTCTTAAATGGCTTGTGAGCCCAATGTGGGACCTGCATGGAAATACATGGCCACAGCTGTGCCATGGTGGGCAACCCCCACCCTAACCCAGGCCCCTGCCCTGGTCAGACCATGCCTCCCTCAGCTTGGCTCCAATGTCTCCTAGTCATTGTTAGGCCAGTACAGGTCCCAGCATCTCTGCAGTTCCTAATTTCCAAGATGTGATGGAAAAAATGGGTTTATCTGCACAGCTCTGCATCGGCTAGGTGTCTGTGTCTCCAGGAATGCTGGGGCTGGGCTTTTCTTTTCTACACTGCCAGAGCTTGTTCTCAGTTGGCATGGGTCTTTGTAAACACTAATGTTGGTGTTTCAGTTTTCAATTGCCAGTGGCACTGGAAAAGAGCAAAAGACATTGGAATGCTAAATATTCTTTTTTTTCCTTCAGCTTCTACATTGGTGAGAACCTAGTAATGTCTTCAGTTTCTATGCCTTATAACCACACACAACATTTAAAATATTTGGGCCCAGAATATATTTTTCCTTCTTCTTTCTTTTATATACTCTTTATTCCTTATTCTCTTTTTCTTTTTTTGGTGTATTTTTTGGGGGGAGGGGGGAATCTCTCTTTCCTCTTAGTCAAATGGCTGTACTATAGTTTGTTTCCAACTTTGAACTTCAGGCTTTAAAAATAGGTTTAAAAAGATAATGGTTCCTTTATTTCCTAATACCATCTAAAGATATATTTCCCAGTCTGGTCTCCTTGTGTTATGTTTTGAAAAGGGTTTCATATCAGAGAGCCTGGAAAACTTAAGCAGTTGTAAACCTTAGAATATCATTTCCAGGTCAACTTTGATCTCATATGCCAAGTTCATTGGTGGGAAAAAAATTAAATCTTTCACATCTAAATCAATAACTAGTGTTCCAAAGGAAACTTCAAAGTTTCCCTTTAGATTTTTAAGGAAGGGTAATTCCTCCAGTATCAAAGAAAGGAGATGTCAGGAAAAGGCAGATTCCCTTTGTTTTTAGGACATGGTCTACTTATTTGACTTTTCTTGTCTTTTTTTTCCCCTTCTCTGAATGTAAAATCTTTTTTTTTTTTGGACTCTGAAGAGACACTTTTACTATATTCTTTCAGGTGACTGTTTTTGATTTAGAGGATAAATCAACACATAGTGGCTCAAATCTGCTTAGATAAGGTGTTCATTCCTTCCAGCTTTTCATGTTTCAACTTTTGCGGGGCCTGGCGTACATCCACCACCAACACGTTCTTCACAGGGACCTGAAACCTCAGAACTTACTCATCAGTCACCTGGGAGAGCTCAAACTGGCTGATTTTGGTAAGTCTCCCCTCGAGTCTCCTTCTGGGCTCTGAACAATGATGCTTTTGTGTGCACATGTTTAAAGCATTGACTAGGCCCGGTCTTTGAAAAGTGGAGGCCCGTGGAACATGATGCTTTCTGAGGATGTCAAACTACCATATAGGAAGTGTTGGGCAAGAAACAGGGCAAGATTGGGAGCTTCCTAGAATTCCATCAAGCCCCAGTCTAATCAGACCCGAAAACTTGGGCATCTCCACTGCCCCACTGCCAATCTTTATAGAGACGTGTATAGAGTGAACTCTACCTAGTAGGTTTTCCTATATCTGAGTGGATATAAAAATTTTATCAGAATAGATCCAGGATAAAGAGGTAAACCCCACATTATAGAATGGACTCCTGCTGGAACAGAGGCTCCATGGCACTTGTTCCTGCTCACCTATCAACAGAGCTGTCAACGCAGGAGTACCTGAGGTTTTTATTCCCATCAAAGTGATGCAGATTTCCCTGGGGTATCACTGTATCTTTCCATATTAGCACTTATTACAGTTTATAATTATATACACACATATGTTGTGTGGTGATTTTGTCTCTTCCATTAGACTATAAGAATTATGAAGGCAGCCTGAGTCCATTTTGCTTATCAGTGTAAGCAAGTTTTTAACCATAAAAAAAAAAGTTTTTAACCATAAAAACACCACAGTAGATGCTCAGTTAATATTTGTTGAAAAGCTGGAGCTGGGGTACCACTCTTATCTGTTGGCCAGTTATCAATCAAATGGCTGCACTATAGCTGCAGTACTTTCTTCTGAAAGTACAGTAGCTTTCATCTGGATAAGTAAGCATTCAACAGATATTCATTTGTCAATTTGCCACAACAGAGAACTCATCTACTGAGGGTTTTTCCCCAGTTCTAGATCATGTGATTCTGTGAGATTAGGTAGTTGACAGAAGTACCGACAGGGGCTCCTGGGTGGCTCAGTCAGCTGAGTGTTCAACTCTTGATTTCAGCTCAGGTCATGATCTCAGGGTCTTGAGATCAAGCCCCATGTTGGGCTCCATGCCTAGCATAGAGCCCACTTAAGATTCTCTTTCTTCCTCTCCCTCTGCCCCTCCCCTCCTCTAAAAAAAAAAAAAGTACTCTTATATTGCAGAACATGAGAGCAATGTGTCCAAGGTCCTACCAAACTAATTAATTTGGATTAGCAGTCCCTACCCTGTGTTTTATTAAACTGGGGATTCCTGGTCTGCAAAAATGGAGGGCGACCATATTAGTTGTACATTGAGTCCTATTGCTATTACAGAAACCCTAAATTATAGAGGTCGTAAACATGTTAGAAGCTTAACTTTGTCTCATATAACAGGCTGACCTAAGTAGTCGGAGCTTGTAGGGTGGCCCCGTGGCGTCCTGACCCATGTCCCTCCGTCATGGGGCCCCCGCCAACCTTAGGGTTTTGCCCCAACTACATGTTTAAAGACGGCTGTCACCTCCTTCTCATTATAGCCTAGAGGAAAAGGAAAAGGGCTTAAAGAAGGCTTAATCCCCCCAAAAGGGCATGATCTGGAAGTTCGCACATCGGTTCTGTTTTTATCATATAGGGAAGAATTTACTCACCTCCCTATACTTAGCTGCCAGGAGGCCACATCTAGCTGCAAAATAGACCCAAACTTGAGAAATTCACTTGACAAGGAGGTTCACAAGGGTCAAGAGAGTTGAGTAGCTCTATTAAAAGCCACCAAAATTTGTGTCTTATTTTTTAAATGTTTCTTATTCTGCTAGTTACTGACTCTGTGGTAGCAAGCATCTCTTCCTGGCTCTGCGGGATGTCCTAGGACAGTGAGTTCTGTGTTTTTCCTCCTCGGTCAGGTCTTGCCCGGGCAAAGTCCATTCCCAGTCAGACGTACTCTTCAGAAGTTGTGACCCTCTGGTACCGGCCTCCGGATGCCTTGCTGGGAGCCACTGAATATTCCTCTGAACTGGACATATGGTAAGAGCCAGGGCCAAGAAAAGGAAGAAAATGTGGGTCATTTTACCCATGCAGATTCCTTTATCATCTGTCTTGCATTTTAAATAATAGTGCTAATAATGACAATCACATTTATATACAGAAACATAAAGTGCTTTCTTTCAAATACACATCTCATTTGACTTTTGCAATCATTCTGCGAGTTTTTATGGTTAAAAAAACTGAGACTCAGAGTTCTGGCCAAAGGCATATTCTGAATCTGATATTCTTTCTACCATGCCTCTCCTTCTGGTTCTCCATTCCTTTGTCTTTCCCCCTTGTCCTCAGAGAAACACACACACATCTCCCCAACCACAGATACACACACACACATACACACTTCTACACACTAATGCTCACTTGCATGCCCAAGCACAGTTCAGAGCTTAGGGAAAAAGGCACACAGACCACAATTCAGTAAACCCGATTTTTGCACCAATTCTGTTTCTAATTAATTACTCTGGATTATGCTATCTTGAAAAGTATGTATCCTTTATGTGTCTGTGTTTCTCCATTTTTAAAATGAGGGAAATAAACTCTCTCCATTAGGGATTAAAGGGCTATAGTGTAAGTATAAGAATCAGACAGGTGTTTCCAAGTAGAACCACATCATTGGGGAAGCTCTTGGATTAATAGAGTGCAATAGTGAGTGAGTGTGGGATCACTCATCATCCTAGAGAAGCGATGATATGTTACATTATTTCTGGAAATGTTCCAGTTATCTGGGGCCACAGTTAAATTTGTGTGACTTTGCAATCAGAGCCAACCCCTCAAAGGTAACAAAATATATGGACTTCCTTCAGTTCCTTAGAAGGTCTTATATAAACAAAAGGTCTTGTTTTTCTTTAAAAAAATCAATAATAGATATTTAAAAAATTAAGTAGTATTCTAAAAGGCTAAACTAAGCTTTTGGATTTCCCAAAGAATTGAGAAACATTGCAGAAATATTCCTCCAGTGAATCTGGAGTCACTGATTTCCTAATACCCAGTACCATTTCTAGAAATATCACCAGCTAGTCAAAATCCTCCTGAAACTGTCAGCTCTCACTACTCTACGCTGTCACTTCAAAGGCCCTGCGGCAGGCTCTGGTTTTCTCAGCACTTAATGATTACTTCCTAGTTATGCTTACAGGCTGAATGAAACTTCTACTCATCACTTTTAAACTTTGTTTTATTATGGAACATTTAAAACATTCAAAAAATAGGGATCCCTGGGTGGTGCAGCGGTTTGGCGCCTGCCTTTGGCCCAGGGCGTGATCCTGGAGACCCGGGATCGAGTCCCGCGTTGGGCTCCCGGTGCATGGAGCCTGCTTCTCCCTCTGCCTGTGTCTCTGCCTCTCTCTCTCTCTCTCTCTCTCTCTCTGTCATAAATGAATAGAAATCAAAACAAATTTAAAAAAACATTCAAAAAATATATACCATATAGGGGCGCCTGGGTGGCTCAGTCGGTTAGGTGTCTGACTCTTGATCTCAGCTCAGGGATTGATCTCACAGTCATGAGTTCTAACCCCACACTGGGCTCCACATTGAGTATGGAGCCTACTTAAAAGCAAAACAAAACAAAACGCACACATGAAAAAAAAATGTACCATATATATATACATCAGTAATTCTCAACCAAGGTCAATTTTGCTCCCCAGGGATATTTGGCAATGTCTGAAGCTATTTTTTATTGTCACAGCTGAACACACAGCTGGGTGTGCTACTGGCATCTAGTGGGTAGAGGCTTGGGATGCTCCTATGATGCACAGGACAGCTCCCCAGAACAAAGATTTATCCAGCCCCAAATGTCAACAGTGTTAAGATTGAGAAACCTGATGTAGATTAAGAAGCATAATAAAATGGACTTCATGGGCCTACTACCTAGTGTAACAACTAGAACACACCGTCACATTTATATGTGCCCTTCTCCCATCAACCTACCCCTCCACCAGACGGGCTTCTTACCTGAATTTTTTTCTTATTGTCATTCTCTTACCTCTTTTAAAAATAATTAAAAATAATTATTTTACATTTTTATGTGTTCTAAAGATACTGTTTTGTTTTACGTGCTTTTGAGTTTTTGTAAAAATGGTATTATATTGTTTTTAGCCTGCTGTGCCTTGCTTTTTTCTACTCAAGATGTTTCTAAGATCATTCATGTTGATCTATATAGCTATGCTTTATTTCCTTTGATGGACATTTCAAATGTTTAGTTTGGTTTTTTGTTTTGTTTGCCTTTGCTGTTATGAATATACTTGGTACTTATATTTAAGGATTTTTTTAGAGTACTCAGTGGATTTGCAGTGTCACAGGGTATATGAATGTTCAATGCCTTGAAATAGTGCTGAGTTACTTTCCTCAGTAGTTTTAGCAGTTTATACACCAGCCCTGCATTACAGCCCCTTATCTACATCTGCACCGACTTTATAATCAAGTGGGTAGAATGGTTTCATGTTGTGATCTAAATGTGCATTTTTCTAATTACCAGTGAGATTGGACATCTTTTCATGGATTATTAGCCATTTGTGTTTCTCTTCTATGAATACCTTCTTGTGTCTTTTGCTTATTTCCTTTTGTCTCTGTCTCCCTCTGCACTCCCTCCCTTTCTTTCCTTCTTTCTTTCTCTTTCTTTCTTTCTTTCTTCTTTCTTTCTTTCTTTCTTTCTTTCTTTCTTTCTTTCTTTTTCTTTCTTTCTTGGTTTATATGCGTTCTTCTATTCTGAATACTAACCTTTTATCAGGTTTCTTTTTAAGATTTTATTTATTTATCCATGAGAGACAGAGAGAGAGAGAGGCAGAGACACAGGCAGAGGGAGAAGCAGGGTCCCCTCAGGGATTTCCCCTAACATGGAACTCAATCCCAGGACCCTGGGATCATGACCTGAGCCAAAGACAGATGCTCAACTACTGAGCCACCCAGGTGCCCCAACCTTTTATCAGTTATATGTGTTGCAAGAAGCCTCCCCAGTTCATGGCTTATGCTTTCATATCTTTATGTTGTCTTTTTGAACAAAATAATAATAATAATTTTATTATTGTTGATCTTATCAATCTTTTCATTTAGGGTTAGCCCTTTTGTTTCTTGTTTAAAAAATTCTTCCCTCCTTGAGGTCAGAATGATATTTTCCAATACATTCTTTTAAAAGTTGTAAAGTTTGTCCTTTCATTTTAAAACTTTAATATACTGGAAATTGATTTTTGTCTGTGCCAGCCAATTGTCTCACCCAATTTCTTCAGTGATCTGTCATACCAAATCTCTCATATATCAAATTTCCAGAAATGCAGAGGTCTGTGTCTGGGCTCTCTTCTGTTCTGCTGGGGTCAGTTTCTCTGTCCTTGAACCATTGTCCCACAATATTAATTTCTACAGCTTTATAATAATGTTTGATAGCTAGTAGCACAAGTGTCCCCACCTATTTCGTCTCCTTCCTCAGGAGTGCCTTGGCTATTTTTCCCCTTTGATTCTTCATATTCATTTTATTTTTTTAAGATTTTATTTTTGTGTAATCTCTACACCATTGTGGGACTCAAACTCACAACCTTGAGATCAATGGTTGCATGCTCTACCAACTGAGCCTGCCAGGTGCCCCATGATTTTTCATATATTTTTTAGATTCATTGTTTCAAATTTCATGAAATATCCTCATGGGATTTTCATTAGAATTGCACTGGAATTGTAGAACTCTCTGAGTATAACTAACACCTTTGTAATACTGTTTTCCAATTTCTAAATGTGGTGTATCTCTTCATCTATTTGGTTTGTCTTTAATGCCTTTTTGTAGTTTATAATTTTCAAAGCTCTTACATATCTAGATCAAAGGTCCTTGTTAGCCTATTTCTATTGTTTATTGTTTCTTTTGGTTCTTGCATATGGTATCTCTTTTTCCATGCGTGTTTGGTTATTTTTGATAGTGATATGCTAATTTACCTTGAAATTTCATTTGTGTGTGTGTTTTTTTAAGATTTATTTATTTATTTATAATAGACATAGAGAGAGAGACAGAGACACAGGAGGAGGGAGAAGCAGGCTCCATTACGGGAGCCTGACATGGGACTTGATCCCGGGACTCCAGGATTGCGCCCTGGGCCAAAGGCAGGCGCTAAACTGCTGAGCCACCCAGGCTGAAATCCCTGAAATTTCATTTGTGATATTTTTTTGAAGTCTTGAATGAGGTGGGCTCCCTCAAGGAAGATTTGCATTTGGTTCTGCTAGGTGCATTATTTCTGAAGAAATTAAGTTTTGTATCTTATATAAGTGTTGGTCTGCCACTCAGATCTTGATTTCCTGGTACCATTCCCCACTAAAAAGAACTCAGACATTTTGGAGAAATGGCCAAGTTTAAGGATAGGGCAGGGAAAGTATAAGATGAGCCAGGACATTTTTTTTTTTTTATAAAGTGGTCACAAAATGACAGGAATAGACCAAAAGGGAAGCAACTTGAAGAAATGCCAACTGGTCAAAGATGTACAACTTGAGTACAATCTGATTTACAATCAAAGCAAATAATGTATATAATGGATTATAACCCAATGCATAAAATAAGAATGTCTAAGTCAATACTAAGGTTAGCCAGCTAGCTGGATAAGCAAGGAAGCACGTCCTTGCAGTAGCATGCCAGCTAATAACTAGAGAAGAAATGTGGACTTAGAAAACCACTATTATGCAATATATTTGTGATTGGTTCAAGCAAGAATCGACAGTGCCCAATTAGAGCACAAACTTGATGAGGAATAAAAAATTTACATAGTCTCAAAGTACCTCACCACAAATTACTTATCAATTACAAAGGAAAAAAATAGTAACTTTTCAGTAGAGAAACTTGGCAGACACCACCTTCACCAAATGATTAGAGTTCATATTATCAATAATGTCACTGACTGACACGGGGTGTCTCCTAATATAAGGCACTGAGAAGGGTACAGCATCACCTATGTGATTTCCCTATAAAAAAATCAAACATCAGATAAAGTAACTCTGTTTGAGGGACCTTCTGCCACATA